CGGTTGAGCTATAGGCGCCGAGCCTTGAGTTCTTATCTTAATGTAAAACATTCCAAGCCTTTAGACAGAGCTTCATTTTTGTCATTAATTACAAATCAAAGAATCTTTAAACTCATCTATAACCCATTAATTCCCTGCTTTGAAATGTCCTGACTTTTTGGCCAAACAATGTATGCCTTCCATTATGTGTAACTCCTGTCTCCCTGCAATGTATAGAACCAAACTATAACCCGACCATAAGGAAACCATTTGCTCAAGACTCCTTAGGTCTGGCTTTCCAGGCCATGGTCATACATATTTTGCCCAGAATAAGCTTCTTTAAATTATTTTACAGAGTTTGAGTTCTTTTCCATTGACATTAGACTATTTGATATTTTCCTTAAGGTCACTGAGGCTCTGTTAATTCTTCTTTCCTTTTTCTTTCTATGCTTTATTTTGGATAGTTTCTGTTAGTGTGTCTTTATGTTCATTTGTCTTTTCATCATTGTTTAAGCTACTGTTAATCCTTTGGAGTAGAATTTCATATAATGTAACTTTATAAGTTTTCTATGTTTTTTTATATCTTTTATTCTGTATGCATTTTAAAAAAATCTCAAGCATTTTGAAGATGTTTATTTTAACAACTAATGTCTTCTAATTTTAATCATCTCTGGTTCCTGGTTCTGTTTTTATTAACTGATTTCCCCCCCCCCGCTGTTGGTCACATTTTTCTGTCTCTTCACATGGACTCTGGACATTGTGTATGTTACATTTTGAATGCTGGATTTTATTGTATCCTTGTAAAACATTTGGACATTGTTCTGGCAGGTAGTTAAGTTCCTTATGGATCAGTTTGATCTTTGTGGAAAATTTGGCTTTCAAGCTTTTGAGGGGCAGAGGTAGAGTAGTTTTTCCTCTCGGACAGCTGGTTTAACTTCTCTACTAATATGTTACACCTCCTCCCCATATTTCTAGTGAATACCCAGTGAGTTCAAAGAAATATCTGCATTTTGGCTGTTGAGAATTCGAGTGATTCCTGACCCTTTGTGATCTCTGAGAATTGTGTGCCTTTAGTTTTCCAGTAACTGTTCTTTTTCTAGAATTTCTTCTCTGTGTAGCCTATAGATTTTACTGTATGCAGAAATTGGTGTTCTTGAATCTGACCTATAGACAGACTTTCTGGAGTTGTTCTTCTGCTCAGCAAATTCTGGCTGTCTTGGACTCTCTGAACCAGGTTAGGTTCTGTCTTCTCAAATCAGTAAGGCTACTGGACTCTATTTGGATTACACTTTGATGTGACGTACTCTGGAAATTCCCTCTGAGATGAAAGCTGGGGTGATTGTAGGACTCACCTTGTTTGATACCTCGGTTCTTTCAAGGTTCATAGTACTTCAGTTTCTGTTGCAAATATCTGAAAACATTTATTTCATAATTTGTGGAGTTTTCAGTTGTTTATGAGAGAGAGGCAAGTTCAGACCCTGATGCTATTTCTTGACTAGAAGTCCATCTTTTATGTTTTTTAACCTTTGTTATACTTTCCATCTTTAGGTCATACAACTGTGTGAAGTGAAGACTGCTAGCGGTTACAAATGTTCACATTTTCCCCCCCTCCTTCATGCATTGCCACATCTTTTAAAAAGTGGTTATTTCTTGTTGTCCAACTCTGGGGAGTTCATTGCTTTAGTCAGAGATCTACAATTCAGTCCTCACCTTAGGTAGGCTCTAGACCTCATCTCCTATTCCTTTTCAGCCTATAGCACAAGAGTCAGGAACAACAGGATTTATCTGATGCCTTTAGAGTCAAATAGATACAGGTAGTCTCTTACCCTCCAGGATTCCCACTTGAAATCATTTGTTTTGTTCTTAGATTTCTTAATTCTTTGATTGCTCAGCAGTGCATTTAAAAGGATTATTTACATTTTGTCTAGTATTTTAGTTTTTGCCAGGATATTTTGTCAATCCTGTTAAAAATGCAGATTTCTTTTTCATAATGTGAAGAGCTGTACTTGTGTGCAAATATTAACAAGAAGAAATATATTCAACCATTTTTTATGAGGGTGGTAAAATGTAGATGTATAAGATTTTATATTTATAAAAAGCATAAGTAGAATTTATTTGCCACTTATAATTTGGTTCCTCCTTGATTTATTTGCCTTTTCATTCCTTCATGGACCTCTTGGACATAATGCAGCGCCTGGTTTCAGTTGGACTTGATTCAAAGAATGCAGTTTGTGTTTGGGATTGGAAAAGGGGGAAAATGTTGTCCATGGCTCCTGGTCACACAGATAGAGTAAGTATTCCACTTTGGGATTTCTTATGGATACAGGATGGGGAAAAAACAGAAGATAGTTCAGGGGATTTTATTCTTCTGTATTTTATTATTGCTAGATAGGTCATATATAATTTTCCCTACTTATAAAAAATTGTATAATTATAAAAACAAGTTTTATAGTACATATATTGTAGGATTTAGAAGAAAGATTCAACAGCTATGATGTTAATGGAAAATTTTTAACTCTATGTTACTTCAGTAAACTCTGAATTTTCCTGACTTTTTCTTTTTTAAACAGTTTTATGGAAATATATTTATATGTAAAGGACTGTACATATTTAATATATACAATTAGATGAGTTTGGATATACACAAATACCCATTCAAATCTCAGTTTGAAAGTTGAGTGGTTTGAGCCTAGAATCTGTTTAGTTTGGTTTACCACTAATTTGTTACATATTGTGTATGATAGTTAAGGTGAAAAATAATGTTGCGTATGTGAATTTAAAATTATGTATTATTAAATGTTTTAGATACCTAACATTTTTTACTTTGGTAAAAAAATTTTACCAAAATTCTAATTGTTGAAATATTTATTCTCTACTACCAGTTGTATAAGATTAATATGAGGGATACATTGTAACCCATGTTTTAGATTAAATATTATGCCATTTTTATAAACAGATCAAAATTTTATAAACTTTTAAAGATACCTAATTTTTTTTGTGTATGTGTGCATAGTAAAATTCTAACCTCAAACATCAGAGAGGCCTGGTTAATGGTTCTGTTTGTTGAAATCTAACAATCTATAAAAGTTGTATAGAAAATTTTGTGTGTATTTACGTTTAGGAGAATATGCTTGGTTTTTAGCAGATTCTCCATGGGGCCTATTATAAACACACATGCATACACACAATTTAGATAATTATTAAAATGTTAGGTTTATTTTATAGACTGCTAAGTCTTCTGATTTATATAGATCAAAGCTCACACATTAGTACTTTGGATTTAGTAAATAAATTATTGTAAAAATGATACTATCAGTGGCATTTTTAAAAGCATTTTTGTGGTATTTTAAAGTTCAATAGAATATAATCTGTATTGTAGTGAATTGTTAAACATTGTCTCATAAGCCATATTCTTCATTATCACTGAAGAGTATCACTTTGTAGATTTTTAGAGGTAGTAAAGCTAAAAAGTAAAAGTAAACGTTTTATAGGTAGATTGCTTAGATTTGAAAGAAACATGGTGAGGACTGCTAGATGGCAGAATAAATAACTTATTTTTTAAATGTCAAGTAGGTTTTTTACACTTACTGTGTATTTGCTTATATGTTTCTAATGCATATTTTGTTTCATCTAGGTTTTTACTTGTTTGCTTTTGTGACAAAATGGCTTGTATGTATTTAAAACTTATGAGATCTTAACAAGGCCTGGAGATCTCCCAAATTGAAGTATAAGTATATAGTATATAGTCAAACTTTGTTGACCTATAAAGAATAAGAGAGTTTAAAAAGATTAAAGTAAATATTTCAGTCCTTTATGTAAGTAGTTCTGTGTGATAGAAAACATTAAGAATGTTTATTATTTCTAGCTGTATAAGTATTACATTCCATTCAGAATCTGTTCTCTGTAGAAATTATGCAGATACCTGCCTTATGCCTTAGTTCTACTGAACTATGCTTTTTGGGTTTATGGACCAAAAAAAAAAATTTTTTTTTTTTTTT